AGAGAGAGAGAGAGAGAGAGAGAGAGAGAGAGAGAGCACATGGTGAGGCAGCAAGCCAGAGAGGGGTAGGGGGCAGACTTGTTCTTTTACTACAACTCACTCTCTTAGAACTAACTGTCGTTCTACAAGTCCTGCCTATCTCTTCCCAGAGTGATTCCCCAGTGACCAAAATCCCTCCCACTAGCCCTACCTCTTAAAGATTCTCTAATCTCTCAACACTCCAGAGTGGGGACCAAGCTTCAAACACATGGGCACACTCAGATCACACCCAAACCCCAGCATCCACCCTGCAGTTGCATTGTGTGGCATGGGAAGGCAATCGTTTTGTATTTTTTTATTTTCAACGACTTATAGATATCTTATTTCTTGGATTTCATTGACCACTTGGTCGTTTATTCTGAAGAAAACTGGGAATTGTCATTCTTCTGATGCAGATGATTTCCTTCAGTAGTGTTAAATTTGTGCTCAGCTGTTCTGGTGTCTTTCTGTGAATGATACATGATTTTGTTTCAGTGCCCGTCTTAGCGAAATATTTGGAAAGACATTTAAATAACAACTCAATGTATGTAGTATCAACAAAACATACCACTCAGTTTGAAGTGATGGAGTTCATGTATGCTCAAGCAGTTGGAAGTCAACAGTGCCCATGTGAAAATGTATATTGCAGTCAATATTGTATCTTTTTTCCCCAATATTTGTTTTTTAGTATTAGGTGGACACCATATCTTTATTTTATTTTATATGGTGCTGAGGATCAAACCCAGTGCCTCATGCATGCTAGGTGAGCGAACATTCTGCCTCTGATCCACAATCCCAGCACTGATATGTATCTTTTTTTATAATTAAGATTTTATTATTTTTGTTTGATCTGTTCATGGATAGTATGAGTAATCTATGCAAACTTGTTATGCAAGTACCAATAATCTTAAAAAATAGTTCAATTCTTTTCTAAAATTATCTGTCATTTCAGTTAAAATTTGGAGCAAATTGGGCATAAAAAACAGGATAACAAATCTTAATATGATGAAATACTGATACATTGTTAGGTCTAAAATTACACTAATTCAAGATTTAATATTATACTTTCAGCATATTTTTAAAATTTAGGCTTTCACAGCATATTAGCAAAGTTGTAGGACAAGCTGAACCATTGCCACCAAATATATCACAGGAAGCTCTCAGTCCTGACCAGGACAACCAAGGTTAGCAGCTCTTTTTAGAAACTGTTCTACCCATGAGCAATAGGGGTATAGGAACTTAGTGATTAAAATGTTTGAGGCATGCTAAGAACATGATCAGGACTTGAGATGGCATTGAAGTATGGGTGTGCCGCAGCCTATGAAGGCTAAACTGGATACTTAAGAGCCTTCCTTAATTTCAATATGCCTCTAGTTCCTGGTTGTGCACTAAACGAAAAACAAAACAAAAATGGAACAAACAAAAAAGGCAACAATTGAACGGAACAAAACCACAAACAAAAAACCCAACAGAACTGGATTTCACCTTTTAAGAAAAGGCATTTACATTTATCTAAACATGTTAAACAAAACTAAACAATATGGGATGAATTGAGTATTGTTCATGCTTAACAACTATTTATAGAGCTTATAGAAACTTGCCTTTTCAAAAGCAGTTGAGCAATCTGGGAGATGTGAGGACCTTAAGGACTCAGCCTTGATACTGTCCCTCCTTAGATTTGGGTTCTTTCTTTCCTGTGGCACCCAAGCCTACATGCTTTTTGTTTTCTACTCTCTGCAGATAATTCTTTGGTTTCTTCCTTCGGCTCCTCTGATCGTGTTTCTTTGCAACGTGAAGGCTGCACCTTTCCTATGCTGGTGTGGGGCTTCATTTCAGCTTTTCCAGGGAGAGGTTGGTGCACAATTTTGTGGATCCCTCTGGGTTTCTTTAATAACTTTTAATCTGAATCCACCTTGCCTTTGGGATTGTGGTTGTTCCTCTGATGGGGACCTGGCCATATCCACGCTGTGGCTCAGGAGGGTTTTGGCAGGGCTGGGCTGCCCAGCCGCTGCTGACCCTGCTGCCCAGCTCCAGGTTATACCAATGATGAGAATCAGGGCTGAGTGCTGTTGGCCTATGTGAAGACTGAACACCCGAGAAACACTGAAGTGAGCTAAAAACCAAGTTGTATTCAAAGTATAGAACAGAGATAGACTTCTCTGAAGAGAAGGGACCCCCAGAGCTGGGTGTCTGAGGTAGTGGGGAGTGTCCTGCTCCTTTTATATATTTCAGAATTTTTGTTCTCATGCCCTCTTCTTTCTCTTATCTTGATTGGAGACTAGTGATCAAAAGGTGGGCCAAAAGGTGGAGTGATCCAAGAGTGAGAAGGAAGCTGCAGGCAGGAAGGGAGCACCCAGGAGGCATTCATTAGCAGCTTGAGGGAATAATTCCCTGGAGCCAGGTAACCTTGGCAACAGGTTGAAGAGGAGGGAGAGGGCTCTAGAAGTATTAGCATTTTATTTCCTTTCCTTTTGAATCATCCCTCATCTTCCTGATCTGATTCAATCATCATTTATTACCTACTCTGACTGTCCCTTGGCTATGCCCCCCAGCCTCACTGGGTCCCACCTGTTAGCTGCAGGATAGCCTGAACACTTGCTAGCTGCAGGGTAGCCTGGACACTCAACCTCCATCCTTCTGGTTCTTTAACACTTGTTTGCTTCAAGGCTGAATGCTCAAACCCCTGTTCAAGGCTGAACACTCAACAACCCCCTACTCAAGGCTGAACACTTAACCCCCCTTACACCAACAAGGCAGCTTGCAGACCCAGAGACCCTATTAGATTTAGGCAGCACAGCCAGAGCAGAGGGCTATAAAAATCTCCTGTCAGGCGTGCGCTCTCGCTCTCGCGCGCTCTCTCTCTCTCACTTTGCATGCTCTCTCTCATCCTCCCCCCTTTCCCTGCTCTCTCTCTCCCTCCCTCCATCTCTCTCTCTCTCTCTCTCTCCTCTTTTTCCTCTGGTCGATTAGACACTGACGCAATAAAGATCTCTTGGTTGCTCTGAGTGTTGTGGTCACTTTCCTTTCATTTGGTGCCGAAACCCAGGAAGAGGGTGAAACCCACCTTTTGGGTCCCTCTTCCTTCAGAAGTGCCACTCACCAGATGACCTGAACCCATTTTCTTGAACTACATCCACCACTGGCCTTCCTGGAGTCCTGGACCCAGTGGTGGGCGAGGGAGGATTGGGAGGATTTGACTGTTGATCATCTGGCAAACCTCCTCACCCACCTGTGGGGAGGAAGACACCCCACCACAGCCTTCACGGCCATGGTGGTCCTCAGGGACTCCCTCCTCTCCAAGATTTGACTCTCTGGTCCAAAATTATTTTCCTTCCCTGGGAACACATAACAGAGAACTAGCTGTTGATCATCTGGCAGGCTCTGTGGTGCCCCCAGAGGGAGGATCACACCCCACCCAGACCTTCATGGTCACGTTGGTCCTCAAGTCCTTTCATCTTTAAGACTCAGCTGATAGAGATACACTTACCCTCCCCTTCCACTCTCCTTTCTGCAGCCATGGGAGTCACCAGCCCCTCCAGGAGGGGTCCTGAAAAGCCTTGGCCAAGGTCTCCCATGGCCCTGGCCCCATCCAGGATGGTAGCCTCGACTGTCAGAAATTGGTGATGACCAATCTCTCTGCAGCTCGAACCTGCCACTGGGCACTGTCTGATTTTTGGCTCTAGTGGGGACACCCCTTTTGCCAATAAATTAGCTCCTTCTCCTCCCCATATGTGTAATGCAACATGTGTAATACGTCCTCTATGCTGGCTGACTCTCCCTTACAATGCCCAATGCCTTTTAGACAACCTCAAGACCCTCTCCTTGACACTGGACATCAAACCCCCCAAATTGATCAAATATAGCACCCAGGATTGACCCACTTATCCCCTAAACAACCAAAGCAAATGGCCCTCATTTGGGTCTTTAGATCTCTCTATTCTAAGGGATCTTTACAATTACTATGAGCATTTGAAAAAAACGGATAACATCCCCTGTATCCAAGCTTTCTTCTTGCTCTGATCCAGTCCTGCTCTCTGCACCTCTTGCAAACCTCTACAAATTCTTCTATCTTGCAAACAACCCCCACAACCACAGATCCCCAATATTTTCCTCCTCTGGATTCATCTGCTACTTTTGACCCTGATGATGATCCTTCACTCTATTGCCTGGCTCACATAGGTCCTCACCATCCGCTTTCTGCCCCAATCCCTTCACTGTCGCCTCCACCTCAACAACCCCCGTCTCCGCTCCTACATGGGTTTTTGAACAAGCTCACACTCATGCAGATGAGATCCATCAGAGCAATCCAGCACATCCAATTGGGCCCCAAGGAGTCCCAGACCAAGATCCTGTCTGGGATTACAACACCAACAGTGGTATTACAAACAGACATCATTTCACCACTTGTAGCAGGCCTAAAAAGGGGAGCCCAGAAAGCAGTTAACTTTGAAAAACTTCAGGAGATCATCCAAGATAAAAATGAAACCCATCAGTCTTTCTGGACTGCCTAACTAAGGCTCTCCTACAATACACTAATTTAGACCCAGAAACCCCAGCTCTACCTGTTCTATTGCTCAAGTTTTCCTTGTTAGGGAAAATCCCAAACCCCTTTCCCATTATTCTGTTATATCTCCTTCTTCATTCTCAGATCCACCTGAGCTGCTCTCAGCCCCACCTGCTCATCTTCCCCCCTCCCCACCCAGGCCCACAGAAAAGTGTGAACTGGCCTTCTTCAGAAAGCTTCACCATGGCTGATTTTAGGACTGTCAGCAAAAGAGTCTCTACAAAAAGGTTCCATGTAGGTAAACTTCCCCATTTCATGTTGCCCTTTTTTACTGTCTAGAAAAAATCACCACTCCAGATGCTAGACACCCCCTTACTAGTTTTTCACAAACATTTATTCAGTATAGTAGTTTGTAGAAATTTGGAAACAAGGCCTCTGGCCTTGAGCTGGGCTTCACAGAGATGTCTCCATTTCTAAGATAGGAGAAGTTACCTGTTGGGCTCCATGGTGACTGCTGGCAGGGGGAGGAAAGAAAGGGAAGAAAAAGCTCTCCCCTTCTCAGGTGTTGTCCTTGAAAGGTTAACTTGCCCAGAACAGTGAAAGAAAAAACTGCTTTTATGTGAACTTCTGCATCCCTCCTCTTACATGCTGGGTGTAAAACTCTGAAACTCCCTGAACTCGGGGTTCAGGGGATTGATTGATCACAGCAAAAGCTGTGCCCTCTGAACCTGGCTGCAGCCAAATAAAACTGTTTCCTGCTATCTTTAGGGCCTTGCCTCCTCTGTCCCTACAACAGTATAATTCTATATACTTAAACATTGTTTATGTTTTCATGAAATGGTAAACAGATATGATTAACTGTGTATTATAAATAACAAAATATTTCTTATTAAAATGGAATAATTCAGAAATTTACAAGGATTGTTTTAAAATGTGAATAAAGAAGGGGTTAACAGATGGGAAAGAGAAATTAGAAGGTTCTAGGTATGGATTTAATAGAAGGGAAAAAAAGTGTTTCTGGATAAGAGAGTCTATATGATTAAGTAAATAAAGGAGATTAAGTAAGTGATAAAGAAGGTCTGTGTAAGTTGGTTATAAAAGGTAAGTTTTTTGAGCAAGTAATCTTGAAGGAATTAAGAATTATAAAACTGTGGTTAAACAACACCTGTTATTTTGCAATATTATAATGTTATTTCTTTAAGAGCTAAACTTGATTAATAAAAAAACATCAATATAATTGTGATGCTATTACTCTTCTTTGTATATTAAATGTTTATATTTTCCAGGTATATAAGTCTTTAAGATAGAAGATTTAAAAGAGAATTATATCAAGCTGATGTTCTCCATAAGGTTTCATGGTAATTTTAAGCTTATAAGAATAACATATTGGAGATTTATTTATAATATTTAATGTTCTATAGCTGGACCTATTATCAATAAGATTAATATAAAGTTCTGTACACTGGGTACAATTTAAATGTAATATCATATTGTGTTAGCTAATATTTATGTGACCCCGAGCAACAATATATGTAAACTTTATAAAATGATATTTAAGAAACAAAATCAGCTTAATACTAGAATACTTTACCTAAGATTTAAAAAGAGCCCCGCCTTATTTGAGATAACGCTCTGCCTCCCATCTTACTACATGTCAGAATGACTCCAAAGTAGGCCACACTTCAGTTAAAGCCCAGTACTCTCTTGCTTTTCATTCCTTTGGTATGTATCCAGAGCTGGAATTGCTGGATCATCCAGTAATCCTATTTTTATTTTTTTGAGAAAGTGCCATGTCATTTTCCATAATTGCTAAGCCATTTTGAATTTCCACTTGTGCATTCTACTTTTGATGGATATCTGAATTATTTCCAGTTTAGACTACTATGAATGATA